GCCGCCCTTACCTTGTGTCAGGAGCACAGACTGGAGCACAGAACGAAGCACATCGCTCTGCGTTACTTCCTTGCTCGAGAGCTGCAGCAGCGTGGTCAGCTTCGTCTTACCTACGTGGCCACTCGGGCCAACACTGCTGATGTGTTCACCAAGGCGCTTCAGCCTTGTGATCATCAGCGTTTCTGTACTGTTCTAGGCCTTGTGCCTACTCTCCCTCACTTGCTCACTTCTTGACTCTGCTTGTACTGTGATCTCTATATATATACCTGCATGCTTACACTTACTAGGTTGTGATCACTGTACCTCTTGTTATATTATCAAACTGCGTGTGAACTGGTCTTGTGACCACTTGCTTGTGCTCGGAATTTGTATGGTATCCTTGAGATCCACCCTGAGCTTGTTTTGCTTTGCCTTGCTTTGACTGGTCTTGTGACCCCTTGCTCTCCCCCACTTAGCCTATGGGGGTGTGTCAAACATTATATGTTTACATTGTGTAGGCTATAGTGGGTTTAGCCTTAGGGGGTACAACAAACTTAGGGTTTCCTACTTGTACCCAACTTTCTGCTAGTTCATTCATTCTTGTTCTCTCAAAGATTCTAACAGCATTCAGTTTCTGAGATGGTATCACGAGTAGGTTAGAATCCTTGCCTAGCTCGCGCCCTAGCGCCCTCCGCGCCCTAGCGCGCCTCCGCGCCTTACGCGCCCTCTGTCACGCGCCCTAGCGCCCTCCGCGCCCTAGCGCCCTCCGCGCCCTAGCGCACCTCCGCGCCTTACGCGTCCTCCGTCACGCGCCCTATGCGCCCTCCACGCCCTAGCGCCCTCCGCGCCCTAGCGCGCCTCCGCACCTAGCCCGCGCCCTCCCGCGCCATCCACGCCTAGCCCGCGCCCGAGCGCCGTCCGCGCCTAGCCCGCGCCCGAGCCGCGCGCCCTCGCCTTAGTCCGCGCCTCGCGCCTTAGCCCGCGCCTTAGCCCGCGCCCGAGCGCCACCCGCGCCTCGCGCCCTCCGCGCTTAGCCCCGCCCCCCGCGCCGTCCGCGCCCTCCGCGTCAACCGCGCCCTCCGCGCCTAGCCCGCGCCGAACCCGCGCCCTCGCCTTAGCCCGCGCCCGAGGGCCGTCCGCGCCTAGCCCGCGCCCGAGCCGCGCGCCCTCGCCTTAGCCCGCGCCTCGCACCTTAGCCCGCGCCCTACCGACGCCCTCGCCAAAGGCCGCGCCCAGCCCACGCGCCACCTCCTCCTAACGCCCCAACCGCCCCTCCTCACCTAGCCAGCGCGCCCTCCTAGCTCGTGCCCTCACCCAACCCGCACTAGGAACGTGGTTCCTCCCCCCCCCCTCCACCGCCCTGTTCCCCGGGCTCAAACCGTTCCTACTGCTATTGGCTTTCCGCTCAGCGGCTGGCAGCCGCTTCTCTCTCCGGTCCCTCCATTTCGACCCGAGTCGCACCTAGCTCCTAGCCTCTAGTCCCTAGCCCGGTTTCCTCCGTACCTTTCGACTGCTCCATCACTGGCGCTCCCTAGGACTCCTAGCTTCACCTCCTCCGTCGCTAGCTGTTCTCCCTCCTCGCTCCTAGCTCTGCCTGCTCCGTACTCCAGCCGCCGCTAGCCTAGCCCCCACTATGGACTCCTCACGCTGCCTTCGCTTCGACGCGGAGGGACGTCCTATAGAGTTTGGCACCTGGCTCCGTTAGACTCAGCGCTACCTCACCAATCAGCGCCAGGATGGCGCCACCTTGTACGCCCACGCGTCCGGCGCCCTCCAGGCACCCCGGCGTCCCGAGCCCCTACCTGCCGAGCCCCCCCCAACTCCGGAGGCGCAGGCGGACTACGATCGTCTCGTCTTGGCGCGGGACGTTTGGGACTCCCATGACGCTGCGGCTGCACTCGTGCTGACAGAGCTCCTTCCACCGACTGAGGCCGCTCACTTCGACCTGGTAGAGACTGCGATGGGGGTTTATGATGCTATTTCTGCACGCTATTCCACCCCTTCCTCTGCCTCCCTCGGCCGCATCCTCATGCCGTTCGTGTTTCCCGACCTCGGCTCGTTTGCGACTGTCTCCGACTTAGCCACTCACTTGCGTTCCCTTGTCGCTAGCTACCGTGCAGCTTGGACTGAGGCTCAGCTTCTTGTTGCTCCCCCTCCTATCTGGCTCACCGTCCACTGGGTAGTCACTCGTCTCCCTGACTGCCTCTCCACTGCCCGTGACGCGCTTCTCCAGCAGCACCCCAGTGAGCTTACGATTGATCTTCTCGAGACCACTCTCGGGAAGATCGAGAGTAACCTCCTCTCTGTTCCCTCGGCCAATGACGCAGTCGCTCCCCGTCTGTTTGAGGGGTGTGCTGTCCCCCAGCTTCCCACCTTCACTGCTACTCGTGCCTCTGCTGCTGTGTTGGTCTCTGAGGACACAGCAGCTGTTTCTGCCGCTGACCGGCAGAACGGGGCAAGGGTGGCAAGAAAGGGGGGAAGGGGGGTGGCGGCGGTGGAGGAGGTGGCGGTGGTGGAGGCGGCACTGGGGGCGGCAGTGGGGGCGGCGGCGGTGGTGCACCAGGCGGAGGGAGCCCTGGAGGAGGTGCTGGCTCACATGCTGGAGGAGGTTTGACCAGCGGTGGTGCGGGGCCCCAGCAACAGCAGCCACAGCAGCAGCAGCCACAGCAGAGACAGCAGCAGGAGCAGGGACAGCAGTAGTGGAAGGCACCACAGCAGTTTCAGTCGTGGGAACCCCCACTGCAGTGGGGTCCGCAGCAGCACTGGGGCCCTTCGCCACAGTGGGGACCTGGAGGACCTGGGAGCACTGGCCGCAGCAGCAGCACTACCAGCTGGGCCCCGCGCCCCCCCCCCCCCCCGGCACGACACCGGCCCCTGTGACCACTGATGCGTCACCGGACCGGGCAGTCCCTGTGTCTGTGGCCGCGACGACCACTCTGCGGCGCGGTGCTTTCGCCGCCTCGACGACCTCTACCGTGCGCGCTGGGGTCCTGAGGCAACCACCCCGCGCTGGGCTCGCCTGCTAGCCCGTAAGATTCCTGTATTTGAACTGTCTATGGACGATGCTCGTCAATATGCTTTGTATGCTGCTGTTGACTATAGTGCTGATGGATCTGTGTGCTCGCGTGTTCGTAGTCTAGGATGCTTGCCTCCTGTTAGTGTAGACATGTGCCTCTCTAGTCTAGGTGCTTGTGTTTCTGCTCTAGGTGCTTATGTAGCCTCCGGACCTGGCACATCTCCGACTGAGGCGTCCCTGTCTTTCATGCTGGACTCTGGTGCGTCGCAGTGTTTCTTCCGCGACCACACGACCCTCACACCACTCCTTGCGCCGGTTACGGTAGCTCTGGCTGATCCTTCTTCAGGACCAGCCGATGCGCATAGCTCCACCACCCTCCCGTGCCCTGTGGTCCCCTCTGGTGTCCTACGCGGCCTCCACATCCCCTCGTTCACTCGGAACTTGGTGGGTGTAGGATACCTCCAGGACAGGGGGATCACCGTTACCTTTGTGGGGGGTGGGAGGACTGCGGTCTGTATAGACGCTGCCACAGGTGCTGTTCTGGCCACGTTCACCTGGGAGCCCTGCTCCGGTCTCTACGTTCTCCACACCGAGCGCTCCCCGATTGCTTCCTCCGCTCAGGTCGCTGCGTCCCCTCCGGTCCCAGTGTCCAGTCCGGTTGCTGTGTCTAGTCAGGTAGTGGTGTTTAGTCAGGTTGCTGCGTCTTGCTCCTGTTGGTCCCTAGCACACCCGACCGTCTTGTGGCACCACCGCCTTGGCCACCTGTCGCTCCCCCGCCTCCGCAGCGTGGCCAGTCACAGTCTTGTCTCAGGTCTCCCGCGCATCTTTCCGTCGCTCCCTCCCTCGCTTTCTCCACCTTGCATTCCTTGCGTCGCCGGCCGCCTGCGCGCCACTCCGCACTCCTCCTCCCTTCGTCCGGCCACTGCTCCCTTCCAGACTCTCCACTTGGACGTCTGGGGCCCTGCCCCTACGCTCGGACCTAAGAGGGAGCGCTACTTTCTAGTGGTCGTTGACGACTACTCCAGGTACACCACGGTGTTTCCTCTCGCGAAGAAGTCCGAGGTGACTTCTACGCTAATCCGGTGGCTTCTGGGCACTGAGGGCACTCGTGGTAGTCGTGTCCGTTGTCTCCACTCCGACCGTGCGGGTGAGTTTCGCTCCGGCGTCCTTGCCAGATTCTGCGGCGAGCAGGGCATCAGACAGTCCTGGACGCTGCCGGAGTCCCCACAGCAGAATGGGGTTGCTGAGCGCCGCATTGGCTTGGTCATGGACATCGCCCGCACGTCCATGATCCATGCCCGTGCGCCCCATTTTCTGTGGCCCTACGCGGTTCGCTACGCCGCGCATCAGCTGAACCTCCAGCCGCGTGTCTCGCGGCCAGAGGCTTCACCGACCCGTCTTTGGACCGGGTCCCCTGGTGTTGGGTCGGCCTTTCATCTCTGGGGCTGCCTTGCGCTTGTCCGCGACACCTCTGCGGACAAGCTCTCGGCTCGCGCCATCCCCTGTGTCTTCATTGGTTTCCCGGTGGGCTCTCCCGACTACTCCTTTTACAACCCGCCCCTCCACCAGTTCCTCGACTCTCGTGACGTCCGGTTTGACGAGTCAGTGTCCTACTACACCCGGTACCCCTGTCGAGGTCTCCCGGTTCCCCCTCAACCCCTCTTCCTTGCACCCTCTCCTCCCCCACCTCTCGCTCCTCCGGTACCCCCGCCCCCCCCTGGTCCTGCCCCGTCAGGTGTGTCTCACGCTACCCCTCTACCCTCGGTCGTGCGTCAGGTAGCGTCTCCCTCCCCGCAGTCCTCCTCACAGTCCCCTCAGCAGCCTTCGGCACTTCCGCGACGGGTTACTGTGGACTCAGGTGGTGTTGGAGCTGGAGGTGCTGCCACTGGCGGTACTCGGTCTGGGGGCGCTCGTTCGAGGGGTGCTGGAGCTGGAGGTGTTGGCGCATGTTGCGCTAGTTCTGGGGGTGCTAGAGCTGGAGGTACTGGCACTGGAGGTGCTAGTTATGGGGGTACTGGAGTAGGAGGTGCTGGCACTGGAGGTGCTAGTTCTGGGGGTGCTGGAGCTGGAGGTGCTGGCGCTGGTGGTGCTAGTTCTGGGGGTGCTGGAGCAGGAGGTGCTGGCGATGTAGGAGCTAGTACTGAGGAGACAGGAGCTGGAGGCACACCTACTGCGGCTCCCACTGCGCCTCCCCACCGCTACGACACACGTCTCAAGACACTTCGCCGGCTTGAGCCAAGGAGCAGGAGCGGTTGGAGCAGGAGAGGCAGGAGCTGCAGCAGTTGGACCAGCAGCAGCAGCAGCAGCAGCAGCAGCAGCAGCAGCAGCAGCAGCAGCAGCAGCAGCAGCAGCAGCAGCAGCAGCAGCAGCAGCAGCAGCAGCAGCAGCAGCAGCAGCAGCAGCAGCAGCAGCAGCAGCAGCAGCAGCAACAGCAGCAGCAGCAGCAGCAGCAACAGCAGCAGCAGCAGCAGCAGCAGCAGCAGCAGCAGCAGCAGCAGCAGCAGCAGCAGCAGCAGCAGTAGCAGCCGCCGCCGCAGCCGCCACTTTCGCAGCAGCTGTTCCCTCCAGTGAGTGGCCTTCGGGCCCTTGGTCTTCCTTCCTCTCCTCCTGTCCACTCACAGTCTCCTACCGCGTACGGTCCTACGTTTCCTCCTCCGGACTCGACTCCGGCTGTTTTCTCTCTTCCTCAGTCACAGTCGTCTCCTCCTGTTGTCCTGCACGACTGGACCAGTCGTTGTCCTCCGCGTGCTCGGCCCTCGTCTCCTCTTGCCGACCTCCGCACTGTCTTGTTTCGTTCTAGTCCTCGTCGTTCTCCGCCTGTGTCTGTTCTCCCCTCGCCTCCTGAGTCGTCTCTCACCGTTTCCTCTCACCCTTTCACTGACTACTACCGTGCTGCTCGCCCTGTTCTCTCCCATGTTCTTGCCACTCTTGTCACCGACCCTCGTGCCTCTCTGTCGTCTGTCTCGGCTCTTAATGCCGCTGTCGCAGACTTTGCTTCCACCCGCCGTCTTGACTACGCCACGCGTGTGGTGGCTGCTCCATCTCCCCGTCCTCTGTCCGTCGGGGGTGAGTCTGCCCTTGGCTGTGACGTCCTAGAGGACAGGCAGTTTGAGCTGGAGTTCTTAGCAGCCGCTTCCCCCTCTCTCTGCGCCATGCTGCTTTCCCTTGAGGGAGACCCCGACGCCCTTGACATACCGACACCTCGCACGTACCGTGAGGCAGTGTCAGGGGAGTGGGCACATGCACTTAAGTCGACGTAGTTCCCCCTCCCAGGGGGAACGTTGTCGACGGCATCTGGCTCCTCAAGGTGAAGCGGCCGCCTGGTTCACCGCCTGTGTTCAAGGCGCGCTACGTGGCTAGGGGTTTCAGTCAGCGTGAGGGAGTTGACTTCTTCCAGACCTTCGCCCCGACCCCAAAGATGACTACTCTTCGGGTGTTACTGCACGTAGCAGCACAGCGAGACTACGAGATGCACTCCCTCGACTTCTCCACTGCGTTTCTCCAGGGCCGCCTACACGAGGAGATCTGGCTGCGGCGTCCTCCTGGCTTCACTGACACCTTCCCGCCTGGGACCCAGTGGAGCATGAGGCGGCCAGTCTACGGTCTCCGCCAGTCGCCCCGTGAGTGGCACGACACTCTTCGCTCCACGCTTCTTGACCTTGGGTTTCGTCCTTCCTCTGCCGACCCGTCGCTGTTTGTTCGCGCTGGTTCCACTCCTTTCTTTATACTATTTTACGTCGACGACTTGGTCTTTGCTACAGCAGACATTGCAGCTCTGGCTGAGGTGAAGTCCGAACTGCAGAAGAGACACATGTGCACTGACCTCGGTGAACTGCAGCGCTACCTTGGCCTGCAGATCACCAGGGACCGAGCCGCTCGCACCATCACACTGACTCAGTCACACATGGTGCAGCAGGTCCTTCGGCGGTTCGGGTTTCAGTTCTCCACCACACAGCTCACTCCTCTTGCCGTTGACCACCGACTCACTGGCCCTCTTCACGACGAGCCCTTTGAGTCTAGTGGTCCCTACGCAGAGCTCGTGGGCTGCCTCATGTACCTGATGACTTGTACTCGGCCGGACCTCGCCTTTCCCCTCAGCGTCCTATCTCGCTTTGTTGCGACTGGGAGACACCGTCCTGTTCACTGGACAGCTGCTGTGAGGGTGGCGAAGTACCTGGCGACTACATCAGGCATGGGGCTTGTGCATGGAGGGACACAGCCAGTTGTGTTGACCGGCCACAGCGACTCTTCCTACGCTGACGACGTGGAGACTCAGCGTTCGACTCAGGGTTACTGCTTCAGTCTGGGTGCTGGTGTTGTGTCGTGGAGGTCTACACGGTCGTCGTCTGTGGCTTCGTCCAGCGCAAAGGCAGAGATCTACGCTGGTGTCATGGCGGCACAGGAGCTTCGCTGGTTGACCTTCTTGCTCACCGACCTTGGTGAGCAACCTTGCTCTGCACCGACCTTGTACACTGACAACAAGGCCATGATCCTCCTGTGTCGAGAGCCTCGACTGGAGAGCAGAGTGAAGCATATTGACATGGGGTACTTTCTCCTGCGAGAGCTACAGCGACGCGGCCAGGCACGCTTGGACTTTGTGGCCTCAGAGGCCAACACTGCCGACGTCTTCACCAAGGCCTTGGCGCCTGGTGACCACCACATGTTCTGTGTGCAGCTAGGGCTTGTTGAGGTAGGCCCACGGTTGCTGTAGTGTTGCTCTTGTTGCGTGTTCTGCTTGTCATGCCTTTACATATATTGTGATCTTGAACTGGCCTTGTGGCCGCTTGCTTGTGCTCGGAATTTGTGTGGTGTCCTTGAGATCCACCCTGAGTTTGCTTTGCTTCTTGTATTGACTGGTCTTGTGACCGTTTGTTCACCCTGCTTGCTTTGATGCCCCTCACTTAGCCTATGGGGGTGTGTCAAATGTTATTATTTGTTATAGGCTGCAATGAGGTGCTCCTTAGTGAGTACAACTCAGTTAGGGTTTCATTTCATATTTGTACTGCCCTGCTTTCCTAGTCACACCATTCCGTTGCATTCAGTTTCTGAGACCCTTCAACTTTCCACAAATGCCAATACAACACTCATTGGTACCTCCAAAAATGGTAAGGCGCTATATCAGGATTTAGCCTGTTGCAATTGTCGGTGCAATGGTCACAAAAGTTACTTGAAGTCGGGCTTCTCCGGGAAAGTGCATCCTGACCGTTGGATGATGACGTTGGCCGCGTAATTACCGGCCCGGATGCACTCTGCGATGTCCTTCCCCTGCACCAGCTGCGACAGGAAGCCCCCCACAAATGAGTCGCCGGCCCCATTGGTGTCCACCAGATCCTCCTTCTTCACCAGAATCACCGGGTGGGTGGTCACCTGCATGTGTGAGGGACATGCAGGGGGTTGGCAGTGAGAGCTCGAATGTAAGAGTGAGTGCAGGTGACCACCAACGAGTCGCCGGCCCTGCTGGTGTCCACCAGATCCTGTTTCAGCCAATCACTGGGTGGGCACCTGGTCGTGTAGACAAAGATACACACACAAGGGGTGCGGGAGAGGGGTTGACATCACACATGCATGAGTGCACCCAGCTAGGTACAGGAAAGGGGCCTCATCGGTTATTCATGAGTGCATGGGGCGAGGGCCATCATGTCCTTCCCCTGCACCAGCTGCCACAGCAAGGCCCCCCCACACGAATTTCCCGCCCCGTTAGTGTCCACAAAATTCCCCTTCACCAGAATCACCGGGTCGATCATTGCCTGTTAGATAGAGTGAGGATCATCTCTCTGGTAATCATAGATAACAAATTATCACACCTCTTCCTGTCTTCCTCGCTTCGATTACTAGCTTTGATACAGGAATATCACTCCACAGTTACACAATGCAGGCAGGCACAGCTCAGACCAGAAGGAACATCCTTGCTCACAGGACACAACCAAAGCACATCATTTCACGGCACAGTGCAGATACTGCCTGCCCCAGGTGCACTTTCCAATCCAGGAATAGGAACCATCCCATCCAGCAATAGGTAAGGTATAAACACAACTTGCCCCACACGCACCTTGCCATCCACAGCCCCACTCGCACCTTGCCATCCACAGCCCCACACGAGACGCACCTTGCCATCCACAGCCCCACACGAGACGCACCTTGCCATCCATAGCCCCACACGAGACGCACCTTGCCATCCAGGGCGATGACAGTGTCGTCCTTGCCCTGCGTGATCACCACCACCCGCTTCCTCGACTCGTTCACCTTCGGCAGCTCCGAGATCTTGAGAGCTATCTCCTCCACCTTCTCCGTCTGCTCACAGCCGGTGACGTGCACCATGAAGGGGATTGGGTAACGAGTAGGTAAGGCTAAAGCGAGCGAACCATGTTTCACTCTTCAGAGTGCTAAAAAAACAAACAAACAAACAAACAAACAAAGGAAAACAGAAGACAATAACACATCATGCATTGTAAGTACGGCTTACAATTGAGTAGTGACACAAAAGTCATGCGTTATAGTAAAGCCCCAGCACGCACCTCCCAGACCCAGCACGCACCTCCCAGCCCCAGCACGCACCTCCCAGCCCCAGCACGCACCTCCCAGCCCCAGCACGCACCTCCCAGCCCCAGCACGCACCTCCCAGCCCCAGCACGCACCTCCCAGCCCCAGCACGCACCTCCCAGCCCCAGCACGCACCTCCCAGCCCCAGCACGCACCTCCCAGCCTTGAACCTTGGCGAAGGTCTGAGCCTCAGTCTCGTTCCCAAACAGGTAGTCCACGTAGCTGCGCGGGCATGGGCAGGTAGGCATGGGGATGCAGGCATGAAAGGGCAGGCATGAGACGGTGGGCATGGAAGGGCAGGCACAGGAGGAGAGGCTATGGAGGAAGGCATGAGAGGGCAGGCGGAGGAGGGTGGACTGGTGAGTGAAAGTAAATTACTCAGGAAGGAAACGGAAGCAAGGGATGGGGTGCACGAGTCACGAAAACAAATGTTCATAAAAGGCCGGGAGAAGAACTGTGAAATGAGCGACGATCAATCAAAAGAGGAGTTGCGAACGGAGGTGCGAGTAGGGGCGTGGGGAAGCAGGGGGGGGAGAGGGTGCGTGAGTGGTGCGAGGGCGTGTGTGAGAGGGTGTGAGGCAGTGGGATCAGGCAGTGAGGGTGTGAGGCAGTGGGATCAGGCAGTGAGGGTGTGAGGCAGTGGGATCACATCACGGTATATTACTCAGGGGACGTTGTTTGGGGGAAGAAGAAGGTGTGGAGGGGTGCGGCACTCACGGGAGGGCGTCCATGAGAGGCTGTGTGAAGAACTGTGCGATGAAGGGCGCCGCCAGATTCATGGTGAACACCTGGCGGGATGGGGTGGGATGGAGCAGGGGTTGAAGTGGACAACTGGTTGCTGCGAGATTTCAAGGCACATACATGGTTCACACTCGTACAGTTATTGCGCGATGGAAGGTGCAGCGAGGATCACTGTGATGCCCTCACCTCCATGCCTGCCTTGTGAGGGCCACGTCACGGCCATGATGCTTGCGGGCTTCAC